ATCATGTCATCTCATCTCTTATGCATTCATGATACTCATTTGTGCATACTCCCTCCGTACTAAAAAATAAAGTCGTTTTGAAAAAGGCTTGGTCAAACATTGAGAATATAAATCATGAATAACTTTTAAGTTGTGGAGTTTAGAAATGTGAAAGCCATATAAATAGATTTGTCTTGAAAAATAATTTCATAAAAATATACATATATCACTTTTTGATAAATATTTTTATAAAAACAAGGAGTCAAAGTAATACTTCGGAGACCGTGTTGTTGTTGAAAGCGACTTTATTTTTGAGTATGGAGGGAGTATCCATGTAATAGCTTCTCCGGAAGGAGTCACGCTACTCGAGTTCGAACCCGAGCGTCAGGAGGAGCACCAGGCAGCCCAGGAGCAGAAGGTTCAGGCGGAAGGAGGAGTCAATGTGGAAGATCTTCCTGAGTGTTCTGATCACCAATCTTCCTTGTTTTTAAAAGGCAAGTTCTGAAGCATTCTAAGCCTCCTATGTTTTCTAAATATCAACTCGAGTCCTTTTTATATTGATGCATTAAGTACTAAGGGTTGATTGAAACCACTTGCTTCATATATTTTCTTTGTCCAGACAAATATATCTTGAATCCTATGTAGGTCCAGGATCGAATATATGCTTAGCCATGCTTAGTCCGGTAGAAGTCGGGTGATTTCCTATCACCTGCAAGATATAGGTAGATATCTGGTCACGGTTGGCTATAACTGCTATCGTGGAAATAATTATGTGTTGATGAATAAAAGGAGACCGGGCGGGATTGTGATAGAGAAGCAACAAGGCATGGAGGTCTTGGTGCCTATTTATCCCCATCTGTGTCGGTTAAGGACCGATTCGCTGTACGTCCTCATGTCATGTTGAACGCATGCCTAGCATTTAGTTGGCCGGATAAGCCGTTCTGACCATGAAGCCGAGTAGCTCAACTCAGGCCGAGACCCGATAAGTGAAAGTACGCACACTGGAGGAAGTAAGGATGTGTGGGGAGTCAGTGGCGTGAGTCTAAGGATAGGCCGGGTCTGAACTTTCTGGCAGACTGGTAGTATCCCTGAGGGTGCGGCGCTGATCGGACCCGCGACTGTACCTGAGTTGTACCAAAGGTGACCCGACGTGACCCCGGTGGGAAAGTATGGGTTTGTGTAAGGAATAACTTCCCAGCTGGTTGGAATCAATTCGAGTCACCGTCTCTCCCGGATAGTGAGAACTTGACTGAGCAACGGCAACGTAGCATTAATTGATGGAACTTGATGGTTATGATGATGCTCAAATTAAAACTCCGGATATGGTTACTAATGCTTGTTAGCTTAATCACGCGATTGCTCTAATACAGGTGCTAATCTAGAGATGTTTAACTAAATAGGAATTCAATTTGATGCTAAAGATATTAAATCTCTAAGTTATGTTACTTAAACTTTTATGCAAAATATTGTCAAGCTAACTCCACCGATAATTCTTGCATACTCCTTGGTATTATATTATTTATGGTTTACGACGGGTAAGTCTAGCTGAGTACATTCTCGTATTCAGGGTTTATTCCCTCTTGTTACAGATGATATGATGTATTATGGGTACTGTAAGAGCTGCCTTTATCATGCCGTGGATGAGGAGTAAACCATGGGGCATGGTACTCATAAGTTATCTTCTCTGTTATGCTTTTGCTGGAAATGACCGTGGCACTGTCATGTATTTGAACTAAGTGCGATGTTGATGTTAAACTACTTTGCTTCCGCTATTTGAACTTTGTTTTGTAATAACTATATGAACTCCGATGTATGTGAGATACCTGTGAACCATTTGTGAACTGTGATGTAACATATGATTTTATATTAAATCATGTATGATCTTAGCTTGTATGTTATTGATTTGAGGTCCTTCGAAATTTTATCGGACTATCGAATTTATATGAGCTTAAGTACGATAGTTTAATCGTTTCGATGATTGTTACGGTACTTATGCTGATGGTTCCGTTACGATGAGTACCTCATGTGCGGGTGGTAGCAGCAAGATGTGAGCACGAAAGTAATATATCCATTCATTTTCCATCCATCGGATGTGACTCGACGCCATTGACTTGTCGCTGAAGAGAAAACGAAGACAGTCACCTTCATTTTGTCATAATCATAAATCATCCAGATCACTCGAAACGACGATCCCTCCTCCTCGCCGGTTGGAGCGAAGAAACTCGGGAAATGGTAGTAGGCTATGGACGTGAACGTACCGGCTGTTAGAGCAACCGCAATGTTTGCCATAAGGTAGTCATAGGATTAAAATATTTACTATTAGGTGGCTGAAACATTGTGAGACCAGTTCATAGGATAGTCCATAGCAAAAGGTACCCATAAGCTTATGGACTGCCCATAAAAAATAAAAAATATTACTTTTTCTTACTCCTCCCTCTCTCTTTCTTGATTTTGCATGGGATTGTAAAGAGAGAATTTTTTATCTCATAAATGGAGAATTTTTTTATCTCATATGGGACCCATCTTATAGATTACTTGTTGGCTGAAACATTATGGAGACAACAATAGCTATAGTCCACTGACACAAAAGCTACCCATATGGACTACTTAGCCCATATACATTGTGCCCATATACATATACATTGTGGTTGCTCTTAGGTCGGCAGGGACAGAGGGAATCCGGACATACCGGCGGTGTAAGGGGTCGCACACCACGAGGTCGGTCGTATTGTCGGAGGAATCCGAGGACAGGAGCAGGCGGCCACCGGTGGCGCCGTGGACCCGCCAGGAGCGGGGGTCGGGGAGAAAGGAGCAGGTGAAATCCGTGGCCTGCGCGAGGGCGCGAGCGGCGGAGGCGGAGCAGTGGGGAGGTGGAGGCGTGGTAGAAGGAGCGAGGGTAGAGGGGAGTGCGACCTTCACACTCGAGGAATCCAACGACGGGCTGGCGGACTGGCGGTAGAGGGATCAGTTGCGGCGGAGGAAGCGGACGACGCGGAGGAAGGCGGTGCAGGCGGCGGACGTGCGGGCGAGGTCAGCCGCCGAATCGAGGCGAAGGAAGATCTCACCTAGGATCTCGTCGGTGAAGATCGGCTGCGACGCCGGGTCGCTGGCGTCCAGATACGCCGGCGGCGAGGACATCGCACGGCGACGGGGATTGGTGTGCGACGGCGGAGTGGCAGAAACCCCAGCTGCTCAGTCCCACCCTCGTTCCCGTATACCCACTGAGATCTGGGCTGTTGGGCCGGGCAATACGTAGTGGACGGCCACGTAATATGGGCTGGGCCTACTCATGCTTGCGCTGGTAACGACAGCCCATTGCTGTATTTTGCGCAGTATATATATTTTTACTTTGCGCAAGGTATGAGCAAAACCACATGATACTTGATGAATGAGAGTCATGTTCCAACGAGAGAGAAAAAAATAAATTATGGTCATAGAGCTCATGATTTTTGCAAATATAATGTCAATTTTTGATAGTACACCAAACATCTTGTACTTTACATGGCATCGCTCTAGCCACCTGCACAGAGTTGGACACCAAACAAATGTCTGAGCACGAATCAGTTAGAAGGCCTTCATAGTGCCTCAATTGCATGCCAAATAGCTCGAAAGCACAACACAATGGCAAAAGGGGAGAACATGACTGCAGAAACTAAACGGCTGATCAGACTACAGATAGATGTCATCACAGACAACAAATTCAGGGTTGCTTCTCTTGGGAATTAGAGCTATGTGGGAGGAGTTGATACTGCTCAAGTCAATACAAGAGTTCGAGAAGTCATTACCTTATCTTGTTAATTATAGAAAGAATTAAATGGCAATCATCTAAACGGCTGATCAGACTACAGATAGATGTAATCAGACAACAGTAGGGGCTCTCATGAAGAATATTTCAAGTCACCATACAGATGTTGACAACTGATATTGCAACATCACCTTGAGAAGTCCTGGTCGAGATGCTGACCTACCAAAGAGTAAATGTTAGAACCAGCATGAAAAAAAAACTACCAAATAAGCCATGTTAACTGTTTCCAGGCATGTGCATCCACACAAACCATTCATTCTGTTTGGAGACGTGCATTGAAATTCATGTACAGAGATGCATAGGGTTGAGGGCTTATGACTGATTAGATCCACAAACTGCAGCAAACACAGAAATCTATCTGCCTAATACTTGATGAGTTCAAAGCGTACAGATTAGGCTAAAAATGATACAAAGAAACTTGTAATGTGCAGTCAAGTCTATCATACATTATATCTCAAGGTCTCCATTAAGCCTGTGTAGAAGACGTTTAGACCAAAGAAGTGGACATATGTAAAATGGAGACCACTGAAAAAATATTTTTTTTCATATACAACTAAACTCGCCACAGGTTTACTTATAGATGCATGAGGATATGGCCATGATTTGCATCTTCATTCATTCCTATCTGAGGGCATACACATTTGATACATCCTCAGTTTCTCTTTATAAGACGTGCACAGATTTTAAGATTCAAACATCATAATCTTCAATGAACAATTAGTCTCACATGACATATAATTATTCTATGAAAATGGTATCATTGGATTTCACATTTGAAAGTAGGATAAATTAAGAGTCAACATCTCATTTTTGAGAATGTGAAAAGTCAAACTACACCTTACATTTGAAATAGAGGTAGTATATGGAATTATAGATTGCATGCCAGTGATACATAAAATCTGGCTTCGTTAAAAGTTAAAACCTGAAGTTGGTAGCGAAACATGTTGATTGGCACTGACCTGCTGAACAATACTGCAATAATCATCAAACCATTGCCTATTTGATAAGCTTTCCAAACAACAAATAAAAATACAAAATGCAGGCATGCCTCTAATAAACAGTCAATCAGCATATGAGCATCATGACAACCATTGAATTTAGTTGATATAATGCACCAAACAAAAGTGCACTACGAGAATAAGTAGGATGCAAGAGCACATAAAAACACTGTAATTCCAAATTTTAAGAAAATAAAGAAGTTCTGTATCGTACCATATCATATACTTGGCAGTGAGAATGATGATAAGAAACTTGCATAGAGGAGAGCACCTCTAGTGTGCGAAACGCACAGCTCTTCAACTAGGAATGTCTTGAGATTGAGTGTGAAATAGAAATACTGTGTTGCAAACTGCGAAGTATCCCGTGGTGTCGCTTTTAGGAGTAAGTACCCTGCACTTGCACCAAAGTTGTTCCAGTAACTGTATGGTTTGGGCAAGGGAATTATCCTTTCGTGCTGCCACTCAGGTTCCCATGAAACGCACAGCTCTTCAACTAGGAATGTCTTGAGATTGAGTGTGAAATACTGTGACTCCCGCATTGCAAACAGGGAAGGATCCAGTTGTGATGCTTTTAGGAGTAAGTACCCAGCAGCTGTGTGATCGATGCTCCAGTAACTGTTTGGTTTGGGCAAGGGGATTATCCTTTCGTGATGCCACTCAGTGCCTCGCAAAGACTTATAGTAGAGCTGTAGCATGCCATCATCACTAAGAGTGAACAGACCAATCATGCCTTCCCCTGCCTCCACAATGGCCCGTGCTCGTGGGATCCCATGTATGCCAGGAGGGAGGTCAACAACTGAGAGTTTCATATCATGCATGTTGAGCATGACCAGGAAACTGCTGACGATATTGATCATCCAGAAGAAGCAGCCGTGTGCATAGTGGCGCTCAAACATCTTCTGAAACCTAACAAAGAAAGGCTCCAAAGAAATTGTTCGATTGAACGTGATGCCCTGCCATTGTCCGGTGACTGAAGAGAAGTGGAAGGACACCAGCTTGTGTTCGCACTGCACAGCGCAAATCACCGGGAATGAGAAATCTGGTTTCGCATTGTCACTGTTTGGATTGAGGAATGGATCGAATTCCTGCATGCCCCAGCCCCCAGTAGCAGCCGCTAGGTCGTCGGGGATGGCGGGTAGCTGGACGTGCCGGCGGTGAAAGGGGTCGCAGACCATGAGGTCAGCAAACACGGCGGTGACGCTGACGCGACGGTAAAGCAGAACGCGGCCGTCGCGGGCATCGCAGACCTGCCAGCAGTGAGGGGTGCCGAGGAAGGAGAAAGTGAAGTCGGCGGACTGCGCGGCTGGGGCTGAGCGGTGGGGCGGCTCCGCGGGATGAAATGTTCCCGGTGCGTCGAACTCGAGGACGCCGAGGACGGGCGGGGGGTGGAGGCACCTGAAGCGGTGAAGGAAGCGGCGCGCGGAGACGACGTGGCGGAACGTCGTGCAGGCGGTGGAGGCGCGGGCGAGGTCTTCCGCGGCGTCGAGGCGGAGGAAGATCTCCTCCAGGATCTCGTCGGGGAAGACCGTCTGCGACGCCGGTGGGTCGGCGACCTGATGCTTCGCCGGCGAGGACATCGCGCGGCGTCGGGGGCGGATAGGTTTCGGCGTCGACGGCGACGACGACGGCGAAGTGGAGTGGAGAGTCCCACGCATATGTGGGCTGCTGGGGACTGAACGTGGACGGGCCGGGCCACAACAACTCAACGCGGACACAGCATAGGGCTCTAGGCTATGCGACGTGGATTGGGCCGGCCCTTTCTAACGAATTGTATCAGATTAGAATGCGACCTTTTATATCTTCTACTGTTTTTTTGCTCCGAGCCAATGCATAATCAATTTAACTTTATTACATTGATGAAATTCGGCCGAAACCTCATGAGACTTACACAGATATCACACAAGGTTTGGCGTGGCTTTCATGACGTATCTTGATTTAAACACGGTGGGTACAAAGTGAAAGTGCCAGGTGCAAACAAAATCACACCATTCTTCGCTCAAAACACAACCACGTACTACAAACAGAGTTGAGTTTAGAATTTCTGGGACACTTTGCAAACTGGGCATTGTACAACTATGTGTCCAACACGGGACTGGCTGCTAGGCATTTTTGTCCAATGCTCACCAAGTGACTTCAAATCATCCACAAACATAGAGAAAACGGCAAGTTTAGTGTGGGATGACAGCAGGTTAAAAGAGGACCAAGAACAAGACTTGAACACGCGTACGAGAGGCGAACCCCACGTCCTTTTCATCTCTACTAGTGTACCAGGATTCCATTGGGCAAACCTCAATTAGTAGAAACTACAAAAAACGAATACATTGGCGAGGGCCTATGGGCACCGACACTCTTTAGTGATTCTAATACAAATAAAGTGATCTATATAGACTAGGAAATGTTGAGACTGCTATTCACACAATGCAAACTATTACTACCTGTGGCACTTGAGGCTACCTGCTCAGAAAGCAGCGTTGGGTAAGCCCTGAGCGCCCCAAATCTAGAATCAGACCAAATAGCTCCAGCATACAGCAAAAGGGAACAGCTAATTGAGCCACACATAGGTGTCGTCATTGCCAGAAATATCTTGTGTGGTCCGTGGTATACTGAAGCCAAACAAGATGTAGGCAGCCGTCCCATTGAAACGTCCTGGTCACTGTGTCGAGAGAAGAGAGGAGACATGCCAAAGATAACATTGGCGACGTTCGCTGGTCTGAAAGTTTCAGACCAGCCGGCTGGAATCCCTCATAAAGCACTGTTTATCAACCAGCCGCTACAGAGAAGAGAGGAGACATGCCAAAGATCACACTGTCAGAATCGTCATGCCAAAGTAAACTACATTAATTGTTTCCAAATGGATTCACATGCAGTTTCAAGTGGCCATATGCCACTATGCCCACAAAAACAAAATATTCATTCTTTTCAGGACAAAAATATGGAACTTTTGAACAGGAATTAAGCAGGATTTTCAATTACATATAACTCCATTCCATTCACTCCAACAAAGACAAGGCACATGTGTCTGCACTCTAGACTGTAGTACTCAACAAATGCTACCTATAGACTACAGGGTACACCCAAAAGTGTCACAAAAAAGGAGTTGTAGTCGCGAAGGATAGTTCAGGAAATTAAAATAAAAAGTTCTGATAGCGTATCCACAATTTCAGAAGTACGCAACAAATATCAAGTTGACCAGTATAGCTATGTTCGCTTCTCTTATAATCCGTACTTTTCAGAAGTACGCAACAAATGTCAAGTTGACCAACGGCCCTGATCGTTTCTCTTATAATCCGTACTTTTCAGCTTATTTTTTCAGCCGGAACAGTGTTTTCTCTCGCAACAAATCAACCGGAACAGTGTGTCGGCTTGTTTTTTCAACGAAACGAACTGGGCCTGATTAAGTTGTACGCTTGTGCAGGCAACATTACACCAAAGCAATGTGACCTCATATACAATTAAATTCTCCATAGGTCTACAAAACATACTAGAAACTACTAGGCATCTGTAGTAGAAACTACTGGGCCAACGGATATCAAGACACTCAGCCATACCGAAGATGATGTCAAAGTTCACCAGTAGGCTTCTGTAGTAGAAACTACTAGGCCAACGGATAGCAACTGACAAGAAATATGACTTCATATCATAAATTTAAATCCCCAATGATGGCCAGTGCATCAGACATTTCAAAACAGAACATCAGCAACCACAATCAAGTATAACAAACAGATTAAGAGAAAACGGAAAGCATGCATAGAGCCAGTTGACACAGGCCTTGAGGGCTCAGCCACTATTCATGAATTCAGCATAGAACAGTACCAGATGATTAAAAGTGAATTAACAAGGCAAGCGTGCAAGGAGGGGAAAGGATAAAAACATTAATTTACAGGACTGTACTGAGGAATCCATAGGACAAATTTCCACAGCCATGACAGCAAATTTAAGAGCAGAGATCAGTGAAAAGGCCTCCTTAGTGCCCCCATTTTGTACTGAATAGCTCCAAAATACAACATAAGGCCACGAGGGTGAAAAGGACTGCAGAAACTAAACAGCCACTCAAACTACAGCTAGAAGTCATCCAGACAGTAGCACCTGAGGTCATGTACAATGTTCTTAATCTTACGCCATCAGACAAAGATACTGCCAACTGATATTGTAATATCACTGGGAATTCCTGACCAAAAGAATGTCGAGAGAGCAGACTATCACTACGGGATACAGTAGATTTGCCGAGTGCCAGGGACACTTGGCAAAGATCCAAATACAAGTGTAACACTCGGCAAAGAACACACGGCGTACATTTTAACGGCAAAGAGCTCTTTGCCGAGTGTCAATCATCATGCACTCGACAAAGACTTTTGCCGAGTGTCAATAAACTCTCGGCAAAAAAAGGTTAACGGGATGGCACGGTGACGGCACTTTTGCCGAGTGCACGACGGAAACACACTCGGTAAAGTTTGGTGTAAGCAGCTACCCGATAGAAGTCTAACGAAAGTACGAAAGAGTTTATTGAGTGACTTGAGGATAACAAAACCACTATCTATATAGATAGGATTTCCTATGCATAAGATTTCTTAGTAGTACTTGAAGCTTAACACTAGCATTGGCATTTAGTAGTAGTTCTGGCAATGAGTGACTACCTCTATATACCTTGCTCAGGAATCCCAAAACACTTGCCAGAGTGCCAACGCCAAAATACTCGGCAATGTTTCTAAACTTTGCCGAGTGCCAACGCCAGAACACTCGGCAAACAAGCGCGCAACGGCCAGATTTTATTGTCACTTTACCGAGTGTCAAGTAGAATACACTCGGCAAATCCAAAACACTCGGCAAAGAAGGTTCCCAGAATAACAGAAATTGGCCTCTTCGCCGAGTGTTTTAGCTTGACACTCGGCAACGCATCTCTTTGCCGAGTGTTACACTCGGCAAAGCGACTAAAACCCTCTGTTTTTACTAATCTGTCATGTATAACGGATCCATCTCAATTCACAATAGACCATCATAATTCACAATAAACCATCATCACAGACATAATTATATGTCACAGGCACAATAAACCATCATCACAATTCACAATAAACCATCATCACACTTCACAATAAACCATCATCACATGCATAATAAACCATCATCACAAGTCACAACTAAATCACAATAAGCCACAAATGCAAATGCAATCACTGCGGAGGCCCTTGGAACCACTGCGATAAATCCGGGTCTTGAGGCTGATTATTTGATGCCGCTGATTAATTCTGCACAAAAGAGAAGAGATTGCATATGTGAGACAAGATTGATATTTATATGTGATGCACTTAATATCTAAGGTTCCTTGACACATGGAGAGATTGCACTTAATTCTGCACAAAACAGAGAACTATGGAGCCCAAGCTAATCTTAAGAGTTTAGTTGCAATATATGCAAATGCACATGCCCAATATCATCTAGCCGACTCGTGGACCAAAACCTATCTAAACAAAGTATCAAGACTACCCACGACTCTACGTCTCTACATGTATACACTCATATTATTCCCCGGGTGTTCTGAAATTATCAACGACAAGAATATGTTCTGTCGTTGAAAGAGGACGTCAGGGGGGAGATTGAGGGGGATAACGAATATGGGCCAACAGGTGTACGGGGCAACCGCCATTCCATAAGGATTGAACACATTTGTTGCCAGAGCAACACGTACATTACGAGCCTCTAGAGCTTTCTCACGATGAATCACATCAAACCTTGTCCAGGCTTCACCATCGGATAGGTGTACCATCTTCTCAGGATTGTATCGAGGTCCGTTTTTATGCCATGTCATTTGTTTTGCGGATTCCTCAGTCATGTAAAGCCGTTGGATCCTCGGTATGAAAGAAAGGTACCGTAAGATCTTCACGGGGACTGCGAGCTGCGTCTTCTGACCATCACCAGAGTCTAGGTAGGGTTTTCAATTACGGATAACTTAATTCCATTCATTCCAACAAAGAAAAGACATATTTATCTGATCTAGACTGTACGACTCAACAAATGTTCAGCTTGATCGGAAGAGCTATTTGCAGCGCTGTGGCTGCACACCAGACTAGCTTGAGCAACTGTAGCACTGAGCGTTAGCTTGTGTAGCAACAGCCACAGCGCTGCACAAGTAGCACAAACGATCACAGCCGTTACCTACATCCTACAGGGTACACCAAAAAGTGTAACAAAAAAGGAGTTGTAGTTGTCTTTAAAAAAAAAGGAGTTGTAGTTGCCAAGGATACTTCGGAAAATAATAAAAGTTCCCATAGCATATTGCCAATTTCAGAAGTATGCAACAAATGTCAGCTCGACTATATGGTTCTAAAAAAAGGAAAAAGTCTACATAACCCCCTCAATTATTCAGGGTGGGCTACTTCACCCCAAAACTATAAAACCGAATTTTCTACTCCTGAACTTTCCAAAACCGGTCAAATAACCCCCAGACGGTTTTGGACGGTGGTTTTGTCTTTTTTTTAATTTCTTTCCGCTGAAATAAATAAAAAAGAAAAAGATTCAGCTGAAATAAATAAAAAAAGAAAAAGATAAAACCACAGTCACTGTAGCAAAACCACCGTCCAAAACCGCATGTGGGGTTATTTGACCGGTTTTAGAAAGTTTAGGGGTAGAAAATCTGGTTTTATAGTTTGGGGGGTGAAGTAGTCCACCCTGAATAGTTGAGGGATTATGTAGACTTTTTTCTCTAAAAAAACTAATTAAACTTAATTTTATTTTCGATTAAACCTGAAACGGACCCTAGCGTCTTGTTTAGGGCCTGGGCGTCCAATAAAACTCTGGACACGTCTAGGTAGCGTGAGTAGGTGTGAGGCAGTGCTTAAGTGGTGTAGAAACACAAAAGCGGCGCCCTGGCTGGCATGGTGGGCTATGTGTGACCGCGCGGGCTGACGGGCAGGAAAAAAGCATGCTGAAGAGTCAAGGAAAAGGGGAACAGGCTGTGCGCAAGTCCCTTCACCACTTCTTTGCATGTTTGCAAGAATTAGAACCAAAATTGCCTGAATGTGTTACAAATTCTTCTGAGATCAAAGTTGGGTATCTAATGTGAGCCATATGTGTTGCCATCCAGGAAAAAAATAAAAATTCAAACAAATAAAAAAGGACAAACACTTAATCGTGTTTAATCTACATTTAAACCATCTAGGCGTTAGGAAGTGGCCTAGCGCCTAGCGTGTTTTGGAACCTTGGTAAAAGTTAAAGCCTGAATTATTCTATGAAAATTGTATCATTGGATCATGGTTTTTGAGGCGTTGCGGCGTCCTGTGGCACTGGGGGTACGCCTGGACGCCTAGGCGCCTTCTAGGCGACACCGGCGATATGGCGTAACTAAAACGCTGTGGCGTCCTGCAGCGCCTGGGGTACGCCTCAACGCCTAGGCGACGCCTCAAAAACCATGCTTTGGATTTCACATTTGAAAGTAGGATAAATTAAGAGTCAACATCTCATTTTTTGCGGATGTGACAAGTCAAACTACACCTTACATTTGAAATGGAGGGAGTATATGGAAATATTGCATGCTAGTGATACATAAAATCTGACTTTGGTAAAAGTTAAAGCCTGAAGTTGGTAGTGAAACATGTTGATTGGCACTGACACGGTGAACAATACTGCAACAATCATCAAATCATTGCCTATTTGATCAGCTTTCCAAACAACACATAAAAATACAAAATGAAGACATGCCCCTAATAAACAGTCAATCAGCAGATGAGTATGGTGAGAACCATGGAATGGAGTTGAGATGATGCACCAAACAAAAGTGCTACGCGAGTAAGTAGGATGCAAGAGCACATAAAAAACACTGTAATTCCAAATTTGAAGAAAATAAGGAAGGTTTGTACCGTATCATATGCTTGGCTGTGAGAATGATAACAGAAAACTCGCATACAGGTGAGCACCTGTAATGCGCCGATTCGAAACGCAAAGCCCCTCAACTAGGAATGTCTTGAGATTGAGTGTGAAATACTGTGACTCCGGCTTTTCAAACAGGGAACAATCCTGTGGCGTCGCTTGTAGGAGTAAGTACCCTGCAGCTGCATCGAGGATGCTCCAGTAACTGTTCAGTTTGGGCAAGGGGATTATCCTTTCGTGGTGCCACTCAGTTCCTCGCAAAGACTTATAGTAGAGCTGCAGCCTGCCATCACTAAGAGTGAACAGACCTATCATGTCTTCCCCTGCCTCTACAATGGCCTGTTCTCGAGGGCAAAATATGCCAGGAGGGAGGTCAACAACAGAGAGTTCCATATCATGCATGTTGAGCATGACCATAAAACTGCCACTGAGAGCGATCGTCCAGAAATAGCAGCCGTGTGCGTAGTGGCGCTCGAACAGCTTCGGAAACTTAACAGAGATAGAGTCCAAAGGAACTGGTCTATTGAACGTGATGCCTCGCCATTGTCCGGTGACTGAAGAGAAGTGGAAGGTCACGAGCTTGTGTTGGCACTGCACGGCGCAGATCACCTGGAATGACAAACCCTGCTTCTCCTTGTCCTTGCCAGTGTCTGGATCGAGGAAGGGATCGAATTCCTGCAAGCCCCAGCACCCAGTAGCAGCCGCAAGGTTGTCGGGAATGGTAGGAAGCTCGACGTGCCGGCGGTGCAAGGGGTCGCAGACCACGAGGCCAGCGAACACGGAGGTGACTCTGACGCGACGGAGGAGGACACGGGAGTCGCGGGCATCGCAGACCCGCCAGAAGTGAGGGCTGCCGAGGAAGGAGAAGGTGAAGTCGGAGGCCTGCGCGAGGGCGCGTGCGGCAGGGGCGGCGCGGTGGGGCGGCTCCGCGGGGTGGAATGTTCCCAGTGCGTCGAACTCGAGGAAGCCGAGGACGGGCGGGGGGTGGAGGCACCTGAAGCGGTGAAGGAAGCGACGCGCGGAGACGACGCGGCGGAAGGTTGTGCAGGCGGCGGAGGCGCGGGCGAGGTCTTCCGCGGCGTCGAGGCGGAGGAAGATCTCCTCCAGGATCTCGTCGGGGAAGATCGGCAGCGACGATGGGGCGCCGGCGACCTGATGCGCCGCCGGCGAGGACATCGCGCGGTGTCGGGGGCGGATAGGGCTCGGACGCTCGGTGGATCTGTTCGACCATCGACGGCTCGTCCGACGTCGAAGTGCGAAGTGGAATGGAGTCGCAGGTGCGGCTGCGGTTATGGGCTGGGCCTGGCTACACAATATGGGCTGGGCTGGCCGTATGATTTTGCTCCATAAACTACAAACAAGTTTTTCTCACGCTCCTCAACTTTTAAAACCATTTTATTTCTAAAAGAAACTTTTAGAACACTTATTTTATGCTTTGACGATTTTACTGAAGTGATATAAAAAACTTCACAGAAATAATTTTCCAAAAATCTATTTTTACATGAAAAATAATATAATTTAAAATACTAAAATCTGGTTTAATCTTAGAAAATTCATAGAAATTTTGTTTTATGTCAAAAAAAATTATGAAACTAGTTTTAGATTTTTTTTTTCTAAAATCATGCTCTATCCTATGTTGAGTGCCTTGCTTTTTTTTTAATCTTGATGGACTTTTTTGGTGCTTATTTACTAGTAGAAGCTCTAATTAGCTATTATAATTAGTCGATGTTGATTGTCCGAACTACGTAGGACCAGTGGAGCGTGGGTAGGACTACAATAGGCACTAGCCCTCCGCGCGCCCTGGATAATTTGTCCAAATAAGTTGTGTTATCCTACCTGGTTGTATGCACCCTGCTGCACATATACATGCATGCACTTTTTTTTTGAGGGTATATGCCGCTCAACTTAATCATACCCTGATGATGCATGGACTCAGGAAGTAGATCTAGCATACTGGATGGTAAAATGGAGGTTTCATATATATGGCGCTCAACTTAATCATATTTGATTGATACACAACAATTTATATAAGGCATGGTCGCATCTAACATAGAAGGGGCAATGTGGTGTTAGGCTGTCTACAATAGCAGACCCATCAAGTGACTTAAACCTAAAATGGATCTCCAACAGAGTACCTATATGGAAGATTCATTTTAGATGTAAGGAGAGGTGTAACCCAAACCTGAATATCCTCTCTCCTAGAGACCCATTTATAGAAAGCGTTCTATTTTGGGTTTTATTGTTGAAGAAGACAAAAAATAGGTATTGAACCTTTTGCATGTAGCACTATCCAAACGTGAAATAGGTCTTGTATTTTGAATAACGGTCGTTGGAGACAGTCTTACACATGCTACACGCTACTTGTTCTGACTTTGAGCTTATACAATTGTGTAAATAACAGTATGTTTATTTAAAGTACACAACAATTGGCAATAGTTTTGTAAGCGTGGTTGCACTAGTAGAGAACAGACCTCTCATCCGAGGTCAAAATAGGCTCTAGTCCCGACATTTTTTGCGTCCGGGACTAGAGAGACCTTTAGCCCCGGTTGGTGTCTCCAACCGGGACTAAAGGTCCCTGCCCAACGGCTACTACGTTCGGCACAGTGGCAGGGGACCTTTAGTCCTGGTTGGTAACACCAACCAGGACTAAAGGTCCCCCGATGTGTTAGTTCAAAAGGGAAGCATCCCATCTATTGTCAGATGTGTTGTGTAGGTGGGGTGGTAAACTACGCGCGAGGCAATGCATGAGGTCTTGGGTTCGAATCTTACGGGACGCAGCGGTGGGAGGCATTATTTTTTTTTAAAGCTGGGATGACCTTTAGTCCCGGTTGATCCTGATGCTTGCTTCCGGTGGGGAACCGGGACTAGAGGGGGTTCCCCACCGGGAGTAATGCTTTGTTCTCTACCAGTGTTGGTTATATATTAAAACAATGGCCGGCCGGCGGCCACAGCCACAGCCCACAAAAGTCAACCAATAATCAGCTCTATATATAAATGCTACTCCAATAACTAGCTTGGACAATGCTCCTCTTCCATCAACATACTCAATCCTACCCATAGATAGAAGGGCGCGCTGCCGAGAGAAGGCATGGAGGCGACTACTCCTCTCCTGACACCTTACAAGATGGGCAAATTCAACCTGGCTCACAGGTCAGTCAAGTATATTAGCAAGATGACCACTGACTAGATAGTTCATGATCTTTTGTGCGTACATATGACGACGATGGCTCCATATATATACAGGGTTGTTCATGCGCCGGTGACGCGCTGTAGGTCGTACGAGAACATGGCGCAGCCGCACAACGCCCTGTATTACGAGCAGCGGACGTCGCCGGGCGTCCTCCTCATCGCCGAGGCCTGCGCGGTGTCGGGGACGGCAAGGGTAGGGTTCCCGCCCGTGCCCGGGCTGTGGAGCCAGGAGCAGGTGGAGGCCTGGAAGCCGCAGTGCACGCCAAGGGCGCCGTCTTCTTCTGCCAGATCTGGCATTCGGGCCGTGGCATCCCACCCACTGGTGTCGTCTTGTTCGATCCTCATTCACTTGTCCACTGCTCTTTGTGTTCTTCATTCTTTCTGGTTTTGTTTGGTATTCGCTGGAACCTTGACATGCAAAATATATAAATAAAGGTCCATTTATGTATATATAGTCCATTCATTATTCCATTATTCTCTCTTATCAAAACTTACTAGATCGATGTTGCAGAGTTTGGGGCCCCTCCAAGGTTGGAAGCAGAAGATATACCACAAATGGTGAATGACTTCCGGATCGCCGCCAGAAACGCTATCAAAGCCGGTAATGATCCGTTAGCCAATGCAATTTCCTCTGTCTTGCAAATATATTCACAGTGCTAATAAAAGTTTGTTGTACATACCTGTATCATCACAGGTTTCGACGGTGTGGAGATCCATGCTGCCAACGGGTTCCTCGTCAACCAGTTCTGGTGGTTCATAGACACTGACCCTCTGCGCCCGGACCGGTTCATCAAGCCCGCCGCCGCCGAGGCCATCAGCGATGGTAGCAGCCTAGTCGACAGCCGTTGCTGCCGCTTCGCCGCCGATGTCGTGGCGGCCGTGGCGGACGAGATCGGCGCGCACCGCGTCGGCGTGCGCCTCTCCCCGTTCGCTGCCTGCACCGACGACGCCGATCCAGAGGGGCACGCGCTGCACCTCGTCCAGTCCATGGACAAGCTCGGCGTGCTCTACTGCCACGTGGTCGAGCCGAGGACGACGCGCTCCGATGATGGCGGCGAGGACGATGGCAAGCTGGCGATCTGGCGTCGCCTTCTACCCTTCAGGGAGGCGTTCAGGGGCATGTTCATGGTGAATGGAGGGTACGTCCAGGAGGAAGGGGACAGGGTCAGTGGCGGATGCAGAACATGATTGGAGGGGGGCTGCTCTCTTATTCTTCCTTTCTCTCTCCATTTTTCTTCTTTCTTCCACCTCTTCTTCTCCCTCACCCTCCCCATATTTTCATTGATGCACCAGCTGTAGGGGGACTGGAGCCCCCCCTTAAGATCCGCCCCTGGACAGGGTGGTCGGCGACGGTTACGCCGACCTGGTCTTGTACGAGTGGCTGTTCCTTGCCAACCCTAACCTACCAGAGCGGTTCAGGAGGAAGGCAGGTCTCAACAAGTATGACAGGAGCACGTTCTACACCTCACAGACTACCCTTTTCTTGGCCAGGAGACACCAATGGCTCAGTAAAACCTGCTTCTGCAGATCTATTGATGATTGGTAATTATCTACTTAATCTGCAGCTACCATCGGTTACTCTTGACTGAAATAAATAATAAACCAACTAGGATTGCTGGAATGTAGGGTCGCTTACAGGTAAGTTAAGAGAATTAGTAGATACCGCGACTAGGAGGCGTGTAAATATATTATGCATTCAAGAGACTAAATGGAAGAGTCAGAAGGCGAAGGAGGTGGACAATATATGTTTCAAGATTTGGTACACAGGGACAGTCGCAAATAGAAATAGAGTAGGAGTTATGATTGATAAGAGCCTCAAGAATAATATGGTGGGAGTGAGAAGGCAATGAGATAGAATTATCTTAGTCAAGCTTGTCATTGGTGATATGGTCTTGAACGTAATTAGTGTGTATGCCCCCCAAGTAAGCCTCGACGAGAGTGCCAAGAGACAGTTCTGGGAAGACTTAGATGGCCTGATTAGAGCTGTACCTAGCAGTGAGAAGCTTTTTATAGGAGGAGATCTTAATGGGCATGTAGGTACTACAAGCGCAGGTTTCGAGGCTGTTCATGGATGTTTTGGATATGGTAGTAGGAATTAGGAGGGAGAGGAAGTTCTGGACTTCGCGATAGCTTTTGACCTGATGATAGCCAACACTTTCTTTAGAAAGAGAGAATATCATCTAGTGACCTTCAGTAGCAGACAACACTCTAGCCAGATTGACGTTGTCCTCGTAAGAAGAAAGAACAAACAAGCATGCTTGGGTTGTAAGATGATACCAGGGGAGTGTGTTGTTTCTCAACATAAGCTTTTGGTGGCAGACTTTCGTTTTCAGGTGCGTGCCCGTAGAGATAAACAAGCTAAGATTGAAAGAACAAAGTGGTGAAAACTGAAAGGGGAGATGTCAGAGGTATTCAGAGAAAAGGTTATCAAAGAGGGCTCTTGGAAGGTAGAAGATGACATAAACAACATGTGGGAGAAGATGGCAACCAACATTCGGAAGGTGCCCTCAGAGGTGTGTGGAGTAACCAAAGGAAGTGGAGACGAGGCTAAAGATACTTGGTGGTGGAACGAGGAAGTCCAAAGGGCTATTAAGGAGAAGAAAGAATGATATAGACGTTTGTACCATGACAGGAGTGTGGACAACATAGAGAAGTACAAGGTGGCAAAGAAGACTACAAAACGAGCTGTAAGTGTGGCAAAGGGTAGAGCGTACGAGAATCTTTACCAACATTTGAGTACGAAGGAAGAAGAGAAGGACATTTATAGGATGGCTAGGGTTCGTGAGAGAAAAACAAAGGACTTTAACCAAGTTAAGTGCATTAAGGATGAAAGGGAGCATCTATTGGTGAAGGTGGATGAGATCCGACATCGATGGCAAGAGTATTTTGACAAATTGTTCAATGGTGAGAATACGGACACAACCTTTCAGTTGGATGACTCTTTTGATGACACTAATAGGCGCATTGTGCAGAGAATCCAAGAATCT